CTTCACATTTCTATGAGGATTGGAAGTTTTAAGATCTATATTTCACCTGAACTTAATTTGCATATAAAACATAATTCAGGACCTACAATATATGAAATTGTTACAAAATCGACATGAAAAATACTTCATATGACGCACGTAATGTGAAAGCAAGTGAATGAATTGAAGTAAAAACAGTGTTATACGGAGTACTAGTCTTGATCCAAAAGGTGAAATCTTCCACTCCGGAGCCCCCCACACCCCGACCCGACAGGGCACGTGGTGGGAGGATGTAAATAACGGTGACTCATTCAGCGAACGTGGCAGTAGGCCCATATATCCTGCGCGCCAGAGGTCCAACCCATTTCAGAGGCTGTAACCTCTACAAGGTCGCTGTGAGGATTCGAATCATGGTTGCCTTCATCCAAATTCCCACCACTAAACCAACTGAGCTACATATGTGGGTTATGGAGTACTAGTCACATACACGGATCGGAGTAAGAAATAATCACATCAATTACCCGAAGTACTTGTAATCTAAACTTCGGGTGTTCGCATAAATTAAAAATCCACCACTTAGAACAGTGATCGAAATTTATGCACATGACTAGTGTTAAAGTGCCGTTTCCAACAATAATTTCTTCTTTTCATATATTGGTCCTAACCACTGGTCCACCCCTCTTTTTGTGGGGCTCGTGGAAATCGCATGGAATCTCCGTCTACTACACTAAGTGGAATCTCCACCTTCTACACTAAGCGTAAATAAGTTTTAAAATTCGAAAATAAAATTGTTATTTTTTTTCGGGAGTGTTGCAATTTTAATTTCGTCCCATAATTAACTTTCGACTCTGTAAATTTAGTCACTTGTAAATTTGATCTTATAAATTAATTGATATTTGTCATAAAAGATGTTGTGCATATCATTTTAACACCTGAAAGTTACATGATTAAAATGACAAATTTCTCTTTTTTTTCAAAATAGGAGTATTTTTGTCAAAATAGTTGCAGTATTAGAGATAAAATGACAACATTTACCGTCTTTAATGACATTGTTTATCAAACAAATGACAATCATTACGTCGCAGGAGCTAATTAGAAGCTGCCCACGGCTTAAATTAAACTTAATCGTCCCATATTGTGGGATTGAAGGCGGCCAGCAAGGGTACGATGATGATGTAGATATATGCATGTCGCCTCCACCAACGTACCAAGCATCTTTTCTGCATGTGACTGCGTACGTGGTGCTTAACTGCCACCACCTTTCTTTGCAATAAAAACATGTGCTTGTCATACGTTTAAAAATGTCACAATATATGATCAAATACACCAATGTTACAATAGATACTACATTGTACTCCTAGTGTGAGGATAAGAGCCTACTTGACTATTTCCACCTTTCTTTGATATACTCCCTCCGTCCCGTTGGAATGTTCCCGTTTTCCTTTTTTGGATGTCCCGTTGGAAAGTTCTCATCTCCCTAAATGGAAAGTTATCCTACATAAAAACAGGGTCAAACAGTGCAAAACAGTGTCAAAACAGTGCCAAACAATGTCGAAACAGTGTCAAAACAGTAAAATTTACCCCCTGATAAGTTTATTTCCTTAATATGTGTGTAGGTCAGACCGAGAACATTCCAACGGGACGGAGGGAGTACTCTTTTAGTCTCTTAAAATTCTTTTCATTTACAATTTCGGGACGTTCCAAATTTTTTTTCATTTTTCTTTTTGAAAATTTTTGTGAGACTTACACGCATTTACTTTTTTCTTACTAGCTCAATCGTAATCATACAATTACAACTTATTTCCATTTTTTTAAACTCCATTTCAAGTCAAACTCAGGAAAATTTTGTGAAACGTAGGAGTAATAGAAATTACAATCATTTTTGGTGTACACAAAGATTAAACATACTTGGCACACTCTCGAGCCTACATGGACAATCACAATTTTTTTCTAAATGAGTTGCGTGTCTACAAAAATAACTAGGGGTGTACACATTTGTGTATATATTTTACACTCGCCTGTATACACAGGCAATTGCTGTTTTTTCTAAACGAAATTAAATGTCTATGTACGTAGAAAAGTGTGTACAAATTATGCGTACAAAAAGAAATTTTATACTCAGTAGAAATTACTCCCTCCGTCCCATTTAAACGTTCCCACACGGTTTACAACGTTTGACTGACCATAAAGTTAACTGATCTCTGTCATTAGTGGAATTATTTTTAGTAAATAAAATTTACATATTCGGAAACTATATTAAAACCACTACAAAGACTGATCAAGAAAATTTAAATTTGATAAAAGTTGGATATATAAACTAGAAGATTAAGAACGATGCACGTTGATCGGAGAATAGTGGACGAGAACCTTTAAATGGGACGGAGGGAGTAATAAGGTATTTCTCTAATTATGCCAAGCAATGACGTCGATATAGGAACTGTATCTTCCTTAGTAAGTGATTAACTAGAACGACAGTGGCACCCACCTAACCCTTCACTAAGCGCCTATAAATATCGCGGCCCTAACTCTCCTTTCTTCCCTTTACCTCTCCAAACATTCTCCCCCTCACTTCCCGGCCATGGCCACTACTTTACCCATGTCTTTTGATCACTTCCCGGCCTGCCCGATCCCGGTTTTCGAACCCGATTTATCCCATTGGGAATGGGAAGAACCGCCGGCTCCGGCCTTCGTTTTCCCAACCCAACAGTACGATGTTTCCTCGCCGGCGCCGCCCAAACAACACCACATGTCAGATTCCGACTCCAGCACCGACAACCTTAACACAAACCACGCCGCCATTTCAAGTTCTGGTTCCGACGAGCGCAACCCGAACGGAAACTCCAATAGTCACTCGTCGGAGGACGAACGGAAGCAGCGGCGCAAGCTCTCGAACCGGGACTCCGCGAGGCGGTCGCGGCTGCGGAAGCAGAGGCAGCTGGAAGAGCTGAGCTTCGAACTGAACAGACTCCGAGCAGAGAACCGGGAGCTCGCGAGCCAGCTCCGGTCGGCGATGCAGCGGTGCGTGGTGGCGCAAAGGAACACCGAGATGGTCCGGGCGGAATCGTCGGCTCTGCGGCGAATTCTTTGGGATATTCGGCAGGCGTTTCTTCTTCGGCAACTTCAGAGTCAACAAGAACAGTTGACTTCAGTTCCTCCTCTGCATGAATAATTAATCGCGGACAAAAGATTGCAGCATCAGAAACCCTAGCTAGCTGATTATTCCGTGCCTGAAATAATTATTGGCTAAAAAACTACAATCCGTGAGAGCATGTATATATATACTCCGATCCGTGTCACTTTAATTTATTAATTAAGCTTGAAATTAAATGAGAGATTTTAAAAATTAAGGGAAATCCGTTCAGTTATAAAATGATGTCATCATGTGGCAAACACGACAGCCACATACTGAAATTATGAAAGGAGATGCAGATATTATGGGATCTCTGCTTTGTCTCGCTTGGACCTGATTTCGATGAGTCCGGCTCGGCCATATTTAATAACACTCAAATTAGATGAATCGGCTGATTCTGATCAAATTTGTGAAGTTTTGATTGAAGTGATTAAGTTAGGTTGACTGATTTTGGTGATTTATGAAAACATGCATTATATTTAAAAAAATATTAATAAAATAATGAAAAAATTATACGAAAAATAACTAAAAGAATGTCCTAAGTAATTTCACTCAATACAGTCAGAGAATTAACTTCGATCTTACATTTTCTTGTTCCAAATTACTCCGTAATTAATTAATTAGTACTCCGCAAGATTTAATTTGTAATAGTACTGTTTAATTAAACTAGCTAGGTGGCTATATATAGCTTGGGGTCAATATTACGATTGTTGTTGTGGGCCTTGTGGATATTACTCATATTTGTATTGTTATGACCTTTTTTCTTTGTTGCCTTTTTCTTAGGTGCTTGCTGGTACCCAACAAAAATAGGAGGGTAACACATCTAGGATTCATTTCATTGGTGCAACTCAAAGTTTTACATTTTATTTGCATTTAAATTATTCAATTGAAATTTTTTTATTGGTCCATATCATCAAGGTACCATACCTTCAAGGTACCATAGAAATTGTCTTTTTCTTTTGGTTGGGAGTGGGGTGGATTGTGAGAGGGAACGTAGACAGTTTGACAGAGATATATTTTTGCTTTGGTAAAGAAATTATGATTCAAACACTTTCTTACACATTTTTCTGCTCTTCGAGCTTCTATATCATCATGTAATGCTTGTTATATTAATTCTCGTGCCAAATTTATTTTGGAATATAATTTAGAGATAAAAGGGAGTATATATCCATACATTAAATGATTAGTAGAGAACTGATCTGGTCAGGCGCGTCTAATCACACCCTCTGTGTGGAATTGCCCGTTTGAGGGTCTTTTCGATGGAAATTTTTTATTAATGTTTTTTGAGTATTTTTGTTCATCAAGTATAGTTTATCCATACTAAGTTTCAGCTCAAAATTCAATCGGGAAGACAGTTAAATAAATTATTGAAACACACTATGCTTTATATTTGTACATAATGTGCAATATGTTTCAAGAGTTTATTTAAAGGGTTATTCCTTCAATATTACTAAACTAAGCGTGATTTCCTAAAACGTGATCACTTTTCCATATGGACAAAAATGTGACTAAAAGAGTCATATTCATGTCATTATCACATTTTAATGTCATTGATCAAATTTAATGTCACTATCGAATATCACTGTCGTCACCGCCTGTGTCACTGTGGCCACCGCTCGTGTCACTGTGGTCACCGCCCGTGTCACTGTGGTCACCGTCCGTGTCACTGTGGCCACCGCCCCGTCCAGTGACTGCCGCCCCCGCCCCCAACCGGTGACTCCCGCCACCCTCGCCCAGTGACAGTCCTCGCCGCCCAGCCATGCCCCTCAAACCAGTCACTGCTCACCCGCTCCTCACTTGTCACTGCCCATTACATTCACACCATCGCTGCCACAGTGATCTGGCACCACAAAGGCCGAATTGCACATCAAACGCCATAGTGAGCAGCCCCACCAGAATTGCCTCATCCCCGCCTACACCCAATCCAGCCCCAGCCCCCGTAGAAGTACAGAACTACCCCAGAGCCCTGCCCTGCCCCAACACCAACCCCATAGAATTTCCAAACTGTCCCAGCCTCGCCCTACCGCAACACCAGCCTTGTAGAAGTGCAGAACTACCCCAACACCGCCCTTAGCCTCCTACCCCAGTCACCAGCCACCCCCTACCCCAACAGACACGTCCTTGCCCCAATCCCTTCCCTAGCCTCACCCAACCGTAGTTTCACTCGCTCATCCTCTTCAAATCTCTTCGTCTCCATAGGCCATAGCCGTTGGGTTCATCGCGGATAAGGTCAATCACAGTCGCACACAATAGAAAGAGAAGAAGATGAGAAGGGGCCAGATTCAAGATGGGGAGGGACGTGCAGCACTGTGGCAGCAAGGTTGCGGCTGGTGCATGGCAATTGGGAGGTGATGGCCGGATGTGCGTGGCGACGGCGGGATGTGCGCGGCTGCGGGTGGGCGGCGGCGGCAGATCTGGTGTTATTCTTCTGCATGGCTTGCCGCTTTGAGATATTCCAGTTATGCCTATTTGCTTGTGTATTAGGTTTGATCGAGAGGTCAATGATTATTATTTGGATTAGGCAGAAGAAAAAAGATGAAGAGTCGAAACGAGAAGGTCAGCGGGACAGAAGAGGCAATGGGCCTGGTCACTTTTATGGCATTTCAAAAAATGGTCATATTTTTGTTCAAGTGAAGTTGAGGAGTTATACTGGTGCCATTTTTTCTTCATTTAACTATCTTCTCGATTGAACTTTGAGTTGAAATTTACTATGAATAAACTAGACTTGATGAGAAACATATTCAAAAAAATTATCAAAATATTCCATTAAAAAGACCCTCAAACAGGCAAGTTCTCCCGGCGCTCCATGTCGGGCGCCCGTGACAGGATCAATTCTCATGATTGTATATGTATGTACTATGTATACATATGCCCACTACTTGAAAAATAACACTCCGTGAAAGGACTCAAAGGAGTAATAATTACTTTTCTTAGTAGTACTACCGCATGAAGCGCACTAGCTACGGAAAGCAACCATTCTAATGTCATCACTCATCGTCTCATTTTATATCCATGAAATGAAATAGGGAGTAGATAGTGTATATATGTTGAGCAGAGTGGAGATAGAGAGGGGCCAGAGGGGACCTCTGTAAAAGAAATGTTAAATTTATATTATGTGTAAATAGTTTTAATCTATAGAAAATATGTTGATATTTTAAACTTTGACCTCTGCAATGTAAATTTTTTAAGGACTGACCCCTTTAACCATAAATTTCTGACTCCGCCACTGATGTTGAGGTTCCCCGTCAAATAAAGATCATGTTTTCTAACTCATGAAAATCGCAAATGGTTGAACTGTTTCTCTCAATGAAATGCACTACGTTAAGTTTATATGAGACACTTTGTCAAGCTTACAAGATACTTAGTTTGATTTGTTTAACGAAGAATTAAACTATCACTGCACTTTTTATTTATTACTCTGTATAATATTGATATGGTCGGATTAAAGTTCACAAAAATGCAATATACGAACTTAAAAGTCAATGATATTGAGTATAATGTGATGAGCGTTTTCAGTTTGTACTAGAATGATTGTTTCCATTGAAATTGAATCCTATTCACACATATAGGTTTTCTTTTAACTTCATATGGAGCATTAGACATGTGAAAAGGTAAGCAATTGCTCAAAATTGGAATAAAAACAGAATGATACAGAGAGTTCAAGCTTAACGTACAAGAATGCCTCATTATGTCTTATTTTCAAAATAGAATGTACTCCCTCCGTCCCATTTAAACGTTCTCACACGGTTTACAACATTTGACTGATCATAAAGTTAACTGATCTCTGTCATTAGTGGAATTATTTTTAGTAAATAAAATTTACATATTCGGAAACTATATTAAAACCGCTACAAAGACTTATCAAAAAAATTTAAATTTGATAAAAGTTGGATATAAAAACTAGAAGATTAAGAACGATGCACGTTGACCGGAGAATAGTGGACGGGGACCTTTAAATGGGACAGAGGGAGTATCTACTTCTAATAAAAGAAAAAAAATCTGTTACTTAAAAAAAAATGAATCTTATTTTAGTTGTGATTCTATTTGAGATATTTTTTTAATGTACACTGCATCTGTCCCACTAAGATTATCTATCTTTTCATTTAATTTGTCTTACTAAAATTGTCTAATATGAAGTTTACTAATATTTGTGTATTGTTGGGTGTGTTTCGGAAAATAAAGAAAATTAATTAAAATAAATTAATTAAATAAAATGACTAGAGAAAAACAAGAAAGGAGATGAAGCAGAATTAGTCAAAGCTCGTGCTACGCAAGATTTCCTTAAAACGTATTTGTTGCCTCCCACGGTGCTAGGAGCATTGCAACAATCGTTTCCCAGGATACGATGACTACGAACTAGTGTTTGAGCACACAAACAAGAGTTCCAGCGAACGAGAACCAAGTAAGAACACAGAAGGAATTTTCAGAGTGGCTGTAGGTGTTTTTAGCTCAAGAAATTCGTGAGGAAAGTATTGTGCGTTGTGTCAAACCGTGTGTTTGTTGCAAAGCACCTGCCAGCTATTTATAGGAGGATTTGTTGTGTGTTAAATGAGGTGTTAATGGACCTGAACGTTGGACATCAATGACCAGTCCGTTGGGCATTGAATCGTCCATAAATTGTCCATTTAACGCAGCATTAAAAGAGAAGAACGTTGGACATTAATTGTTGTAACGGACCAGAAGACCTTCTATTGCGAACAGAAGGCCTCGAGGGTCTCTGTTACGGGAAGAAACAAAAATTAGACCGTATCTTTGAATGATAGGTTTTCGGACGACATTCGTGTCCGCAGGTCGCCCACGCACACGAGTCGCGGTTTTTCTTCTCCGTTTCGGGATTTGATCAGCACCCCCCCTGCGCGTAAGAGAGAGCCTTTCCCTTTAGGAATCTTAACTCCTTAAAAGAGGCTTCCCTTTATAAGGGGGTGAAAATCCCTTGAGTTTTTCGGTGTGGGATAAAACACACTGGAAACTCACCATTTTCCCAATTTTTCCATTTCAACGAGTGAACTTCGAGAATCAATTTCTCATTCACCCGTTATCCGTTTTGAGTGTACCACATATCGAATTGTAGCCCTTAACAAGGACAATCCGAAACCACTTTAACCCGATCCAAATCGGAAATGGACCCCACTCAAATAATTGCCCCAAAAAGACCATTTAATGCAATTTTTAACACATTTTTCCAACAATCCCCCACATGAATGAAAATTGATTTTCGGGACTTAAAAAACACGAAGATAGGAGGACACGTTGTGTTCACCGGATAATCCTTGCATACGGAGAGGTAGGTTTTATCCTTTGAACCTTCCGTTGTATAGACACGTTTATTTACTGGCTGTCTAGTAGACTCGATGTCCTTGAACTATACTGCCGTCGTGTAAACATTGACTTATCTTTACACAAGAACCTTCCAACTTTGTTCCGTTCTCATGGGTGTGCCCGTTTTGGCCATGGGTCACCGTCCTGGTTCTGCAAGAGTTTCTAAAGAACTGAGCCTTTACAATTCTCCTTTGAAGCGGCCCTCTTCTCTCTCACATAGGTGATTCTTTCACGAGTATCCCGCATACTCTTCCAATGTTATCGAGTAGATCAACATTTTAGAATCATTAAAGCAAACGTTTTTGCTAACCTCGTGCGGGAGTCACTGTTTTAACGAGGAGTGGGTAGGAGTCCGGGACCCCCACAGTGACCATCCTTCGCCTATAATTTAGTTGTCCCTTTTGAACTTAGGACCAACTAGGTTGGGTATCCACTATAGAACTTTTCACGTCACGGGCTTTAGTCCCATTCCTCGTGACAACTTCTCCAACAATTCTCTATCCAATGCCTTGGTTAGCGGATCCGCTATGTTATCCTTTGACTTCACGTAGTCAACAGTGATAACACCCGTTGTGAGGAGTTGTTTAATGGTGTTATGTCTACGACGAACGTGTCTAGACTTACCATTGTACATATTGCTCTGTACCCTTCCAATTGTCGCTTGACAATCGCAATGTATGCATATTGAAGGGACAGGCGTTTCCCAACTTGGAATATCCTCGAGAAAATGGCGTAGCCATTCAGCCTCTTCAGTGCACTTATCCAAGGCTATTAGCTCAGATTCCATCGTGGATCTAGCTATTAACGTTTGTTTCGAGGATTTCCACGACACGGCTGCACCTCCCAAAGTGAAAACATATCCACTTGTGGACTTAGAGTCCTTTATGTCGGATATCCAACTAGCGTCGCTATACCCTTCAAGTACAACTGGATATCTTCCATAGTGCAGTCCAAGATTTTGGGTTTTACGTAAATACCTCAAAACCCTTGTTATTGCCTTCCAATGTTCATCACCGGGGTTGCTAGTATATCTACTTAGCTTACTAACCACAAAGGAAATATCAGGTCAGGTACAACTCATTAGATACATCAAGCTTCCAATAATCCTAGCGTATTCTACTTGAGAAATACACTTTCCACGATTTTTGGTAAGTTGTACGTTTTTATCTAATGGAGTCCTTGCCTCTTGATAATCATCCTTATTAAATTTCGTAAGGATTTTATCAACGTAATGGGATTGGCTTAGCGTAAGACCGTCAGGTCCTCTAATTATTTTAATCCCAAGGATTAAATCGGCCAACCCCATATCCTTCATGTCAAATTTAGAATTTAACATGCTTTTGGTAGAATTAATCATTAGATTATTGCTACCCACGATGAGTATATCATCCACGTATAAACATAAAATGACATAGCCGTCTACCGTGCTCTTCACATAGACGCATTTGTCACTTTCGTTTATTTTAAACCCATTAATTAACATTGCATGATCGAACTTTTCGTGCCACTGTTTAGGGGCTTGTTTCAATCCATACAATGATTTAATTAATTTACACACTTTCCTTTCTTGGCCTGGAACACGAAAGCCCTCGGGCTATTCCATATAGATTTCTTCGTCTATATCGCCATTTAGAAAAGCGGTTTTTACGTCCATTTGATGAACTTCCATTTTCCGCAATGCGGCAATTGCTAGTATCATCCTAATGGAATTTATTCTCGTCACAGGAGAATACGTGTCAAAGTAATCATGGCCCTCACGTTGCTTGTATCCTTTGATTACAAGTCTGGCCTTGTACTTATCGATGGAACCGTCCGGTTTCATTTTCCGTTTAAAAATCCACTTGGATCCCAAAGGTTTATTTCCCGGAGGAAGATCAACCAATTCCCATGTGTGATTTTTAAGGATAGAATCCACCTCACTTTTGATGGCTTCTTTCCACATAGGACCTTCAGTAGACGTCATAGCTTCTGTATAAGTCCGTGGCTCATTTTCTACCAAACATGTTAGAAAATCCGGTTCATTTTCTACCATACATGTTAGAATATCCGGGTCAACTTCTACCAGGTAGGTGAGAAAATCCGGTCCGAAGGATTTTTCAATTCTAGCACGTTTGCTACGTCTGGGTTCGGGTTCTTCTCCGGATCCCTCGCTAGTATTTTCCATAGCTACGTCAAATGTTCGTTTTGACGTGCTAGTCCCTTCGTTGGACTTGCATGGAAATACATCTTCTAAGAATGAAGCATTCCTTGATTCAATTATTGTGTTTTTATGTACATCCGGATTATTCGAATCGTACACTAAAAACCGATACGCACTACTATTTTGTGCATATCCAATAAAAATACAATCCACCGTTTTTGGACCTATTTTTATTTTCTTAGGTGTTGGTACAAGCACCTTAGCAAGACACCCCCACACTTTTAAATATTGATAGGAAGGCCGTCTGCCTTTCCA